TCATTTGCCGCCCTCCAGAGGAGAATGCGCTGTGCTACCAGCCGCAACAGGATGAGTTACAGTGGAAAGGGATGCCACAGGGTCTTTGGTGGAAAGTACATCTATCCCAAATTCACCCCACTGATCTCTGATCTCTTCCCACATCCCTTGTTTTTGTTTTTCATATCAGGGATTGAACTTAGCACCATTTAAGGAGAGTGCCCCTCTCAAAAGTCAAACCACTTGTGCTTGAGCCTGAGCAATGTCCCCTCTGGAATCTTTCGTTTCCACATCAGCAAAATGGGAATGGTAATACCGGACTCATCTCACAGATTAGTGGAAGGTTTAGATAACACTGTGCAAGTAAGGTGCTCCCTAAATCACTCATTTGTTGGTCCTGCTGTTGTTACCGTTATTCTGGGAAGCAAGAACCCAAGGTAATCTAAGCTCTCACTTCTTTTCACCTAATAGTGTTGGCTTTTGCCATGATTTCCTGGAGATGTAGAGATCATGGCCCATATTGGCTTCCTCCAGGATGTGTGTTCAGGGCTGCACTGCCTGGCCCGCCTTCCCTGCGCAACTGTGCATCACCAGAGCTGAGGTACTTGTCTTTATTTTACTTAATTTTTGGTACCTGGAATCAAACTTAGGACTTTGCACTTGTGAGGCAGGTTCTCATGCTGCTGAGTTATATCTCCATAGGTACTTGTCTTTGTAGATTTTCCAGAACAAATCAGAAGGTGAACTGATCACCAGGCTGAGAACTAAGACCACCAGGTCTGCTTCCCAGAAATGGAAGAAATGAGAACCTAGTTATGCCTTCAATGGCAGCTATTTGGGGAGTTCCTTTATGTGCCAGGTACTGTGCCAGGCGCTGGGAATATGGGAGACCTGCCCTTTGAGCTGGAGCCGGAAGGCCTGGCAGGCGCTCAGATACTGCTAGGACATTAGCCCACTAAACAGAAGGCCAGCCTGAGACCGCGGCCTATCTGTCCCTCGCCGCCAGACCTCGCTCACCTAGGCCAGGCCCAGAGCGCCCGGCCAAGACCCACGCCCAGGGCGCGGGGGCGGGGCCACAGCCCAGGTGCGAGCGGTGGAGCTTCGCGGAGACAGGAAATGTGTCCCCAGCGGCGGCCCGTGGAGCGCTCCCGCGAGACGCGCACCTGCGCTCCAGGTGAGCGGGGAAAGGGGCGGGGGAAGGGTTGAGCCGGAGGCGGCTCACCTGGCGGGACAGGTAAGCTTCGCGCGGGCCGGAGAGGACGCGAACTAGGGTGGCGCCAGTGTGGGGAGCCCCTCGAAGCTTTGTCTGGACAGGGGAGGGTCCCAGGCCCGGTTCCTCAAAGGCCACCCACCCACTTCCGGGGTGCGCGGGCCCGGCCCGGGAGCGGCCTGGGCGGGCGCCCGAGCTGGGCGGGCAGTGTGGGGCGAGCGGGCCATGCCCGCCCCTAGAGCTGCAGGGCCGGGGCCAGGAGCCGTGCTCGCCCGGGCGGGGAGCAGTGCCCACTCCGGGGAACGATGTCAGGACCCAGGAGCGGGCGGAGGCCCTGCCGCTGGTTAGGGTGGTGCTCCCCCTGAGGGTAGTGCTGGTGTGGAGGCTGCGCTAGTCCTGAGGGCCGTACTGACGTCTGGTTTTCCCATGTATCCGGGATTAGGTGCCTGTGGATGACAGGGTCGGGCGGCGCTCCTGAGGAAGGATGAGTGCGCTGCAGCCGACCGTCAGCCCATGAGCCAGGCTGCACCTCCTGGACGGGTGTTAGAGACTTGGCTGGGAACAGGGGTGGGGCAGATATACTGCTGTTGCCGGCCTGCTCTGGGGACCCTGGGAGGAAGGATCTGTACAGAGACAGACTTCTGAGCATATGTGTTTACAGGGCTAAGGAGAAAAGGCGAGCAACAGTGAAAAGGCGGGGGGGGGGGGCGGGGGACACGGACTGAGACCACCAGACCCTGTGGTACTTTTAAAAACATTTTTTGGAGCTATATGTTCACTGTGTAAATCAGGCTTGCCTTGAACTTACTGTGTATCCCAGAATGGCCCCAAACTTGCATCAGTCCTTCTGCCTCAGCCTCCCGAGTGTTGGGATTACAGGCGTGTGTCACTACGTCCAGCCAGAGCTCCAGATCCTTAATATGTAAAGTGGATATGTAACATTTATTCATAGGGCAATTGTGAGGGTTAAATAATGTGAAAGTCTTCGTGGATTCAAGCTTGTTTCTTGCCCATTCATGGTTGTGTCCTCAACGTTTAGTAGTGTGGAGCCCATCAATAAATACATTGGATGAATTTAATAGTAATGAGTCCTAAAGTCTTGGAGGTGAGAAAGAAGACAGTGACCTAGCCCATAGTCACTGACTATTGATGCACTTCAGAGTTCAGTGTGGTTGAACTGTATAGACGCTCCCACCCAAAGGTGTGAAAGACTGGTCTCACTGCAGGCCCTCCCTGGGTATAAGCTTGTCCATACTGCCGGCAGCTTTGACTGCTCTTTTGCTTTCAAGAAACACATGGGATGGAGTAGGGAGAAGACTCTTCTTTTGAGTGCTTAGATAGTGAAGAGTCCAGGGCCAGATAATTGAGTACAAATAGAAGTGTGGCTTCAGATAATTTATTTAACCTCTTATTGCTTCAGCATGGTGATTACAGTACTACAAAAGGGTGGTGAGAATTAATTGGCTTATTACAGACCGAGCACTTAGAAGAATGGAGCTATCAGTGATCACTTTAGTGTGCAAAATCCTGTAGTTAAGAAATTTTGTTTATGACTGTATCCACAGAGTTTAGAACTGTGTTTGGCACAAAGTAGGCCCGTAGTAAATTTTTTGTTGTTGAGATATGATCTGAGTTGTTGAAGCTGTGCTCAAACTAGGGACTCTCCTGCTTCAGCCTTCCAGAGTGCTGATGCTCAGCCCCTCAGTAAGTATTTAAGTGAATGAATGAATCTATATGTAGTCCTACACTGCTGAAGCAAATGAAAAGAGTTGTAATCATATCCTTCCAGGTCCTGCATATTCCAATTTCAGTGTGCACACTTCGGGTTTCACATACCCTCTCCTCCAAGACTGTTGGTCAGTTTGGGCCTAAGTCCTTTTTTTTTTCTTTTTCTTTTTTGTACCAGGAATTGAATTCACAACCTTGTGCTTGCCAGGCAGGTACTTATGCCGCCGAGCTAACTCCCCAGCCCATCCTTTTTCTTTCTACCCAATGGCCCTGGTTTTTTTTTTTGTTGTTGTTTGTTTTTTATTGGTACCAGAGATCGAACTCATGACCTGCCTGATTGCAAGGCAGGTGCTTATGCCGCTGAGCTAAATCCCCAGCCCTAATGGCCCTGGTTTTATCCTGAGGTTACATAGAAAGCTTTCATCTGAAATATCTCCTCTTCCAGACCGAAGCAGTAGGGAAGCCAATACAGGCCCTGCCCCTCAGCCATGGTCCTTAGGTAGATAGGCTTATCCTGGCACACTGGGTACAAGGCTGAGCCAGCCCACAGAGTCCAGCAGAAGGCTGTGTAGACAGGGGCTGCCATCTGATTAGGGGTTCTCGAGGTCCTTGAAGGAGTTGTGCGTGAGGTCAGAGGAGTGGTTTGAAGAATTTCAGGTTCTCTACTTGCACATAGTTTAGTTTTTTGTTGGTTTGGTTGGTTTTGTGATACTGGGGACTAAACTCAGGGAGCACTGAGCTACATCCTCAGTCCTTTTTATTTTGAGACAATGTCTTGCTAAGTTGCCCAGGCTGGCCTGGAAGTTGCAATCTTCCTGCCTCACTCAGCCTTCTGAGTGGCTGGTGCAATAGGTACATGCAACTACATTCAACTGCTTCTAGATATTTATTGGTTAGTTTGAAAATTTGAAATTTGGTTGCAGACACAATAATCCTTTACTTCTCAGTGCCTTGATTTGTATTTTCTAAGAATAAGAACACTCTTAAATGATTATAGTAAGCAAATTCAGATTTAATATAATTATTATTATTATTATTATACAATACACAGTCTATTTTCTAATTTTGCTGATTATCCAGTTTCTAATTTTCCTGTAATCCCTGATCCTGTCCCAGGTAATACTATAGTTAGTTGTCATGTTTCAAACTGGACTTATCTGATGTTTCCTTATGATTACATTCAGCTTATGCATTTTTGGCAAGAATACATCAAAGTGCTGTTGTAATCTTAGCGCATGGCATCAGGAGGTACTTGTCCTTTCACCCCATTACTACTAATATTAACTTTGATTAAAGTGGTGCCTACTGGAAGATTTGTGGGGTTTTTTGTTTTTGTTTTTGTTTTCAGTTTTCACTGGCTGCCACAAGTAGAAAATATTGGAGCTGGCCAGAATGGGAGAATTGGGCTATTTGAATGAGAGAGGATTGTGATGCCACTTGGGGAGATGGCATTGTTTTGCCCAAGGCACGTAGTTTATAAGAGTTAGAACTGGAACTAGAGTACAGATAACTTGGTGCCCAGCCCTGTTCCTCATGCATCAGTAGTTCTTAGGACACTGGTGTCATTAAGTCAGAGATAAAAGGACACAGAGTCAGTATCTCAGAAAAGACAAACTAGGGACAGTTACTGATTAAGGACCCTCCCAAATACACCACTGCAAAACCTTCCCTGACTCTCAGGCACTTATTTACTCCCATAATGCGTTTAATATCTTGTATATCCTACCTGTTCCATTGTTGTTGAAGTGTTGCTGTGAATAGAATCCTAGGCCTCACATATGAAAGGCAAGTGCTATATCCAATCCAACATGATCCATCTCACAAACTTTTCTTTTTCTTTCTTCTTTGCAGGATTCAGGGTTGCACCCAAGGCCTTCACACTGATCTACAACTACAGTCCTTTTTTGTTTTGTTTTTGAGGCAGGATCTCATTCATGCTCTAAGTTGCTCAGGCTGGACTTGAACTTGCTATCCTCCTCTTTCATCTCCCCGAGTGCAAGGATTACAGGCATGTACCAACACAGCCAGCTCATCCTATAAGACTCTTTGTTTGTTTTGTTAATTCTTTTTCTTTTAAAGACAGTCTTACTATATAGTTTAGGCTGGCCTTGAACTCACTGTGTAGTCATGTAGTCCAAGCTGCCCTCAAACTTGCATCAACACCTTTGCCTCACCCTCCCAAATGCTGAGATTATAGGCTTGTATCACCACACTGGTATCTATTAGCTTTTAATTTTAAACATCTGTTTTTCCTATAAAACTATGTAAATTGAGAACCGGCTCTGTACTTCATCTTTGGTTCTAAAGCAACTGACATACAGCCTCAGTTTTGTTGTCTAATCAAAAGGAAGCAAAACTGCTTGGCATTAAGTGTTTTGGGAGGACGAATCTGGTCAGACTGAAGAGGACCATTCCATATCTGACCTGAGGGATAAAGGAAGGAAAGTGGCAATGGTCAATTCCATAGCAGGTCAGAGAGAAAGGCATTTACTGTGTAGTGTCAGAGGTTCTGCACTGAGCTTACCAACAGCAGAAAGAAGCCAGAGAGATCATTTTTAACAAGTGAGATCCTAAATCTTTTTTTTTGGTAAAATGTACATTAAAAGTACCATTTTTGCTTTGCATAGTGGTACATGCCGGTGATTCCAGCTACTTGGGAGGCTGAGGCGAAAGAATTGCAAGTTTAAGCCCAACTGTTTGGGCAGTTAAGCAGGATCCTGTTGCAAAATAAAAAGAGAGAGTGCCAAGATGTAGTTCAGTAGTAGAGCCCCCCTGGTTTCAATCCCCAGTACTACTGAGGAAAAAAAAGAGACTATGTTAGGGGTTAGATAGTGTAGCTTAGTGTAGCTTACAGCACATACCTGGCACACACACAAAATTGAATCTTCAGCACCATTTTTTTAAAAAAAGTGGAAAATTCTTAGCCGGGCATGGTGGCTCATGCCTGTAATCCCAGCATTCGGGAGGCTAAGGTGGGAGGATCGTTGCAAGTTCGAGACCAGCCTGGGCTACACAGTGAGCTCAAGGCCAGCCTGAACTGCATAGTGAGACCTCGTCTCAAAAAAGACCAAAAAAAAAAAGGTGGAAAATTCTCATTTTAATCTTTTTGTAAAACCATCTATAAGTGTATAGTTCTATGGTAATAAAAAACATTCACACACCATCACCCATTCCCAGAATTTTTTCATCTTTCCCGGCAGAAATTCTCCATTCATTGAACACTAATTCACCATTGCCCTCTTCCCTCAGGCTCTAGGAACCACAGTTCTACTTTCTATCCCTATGAATCTGACTGTTCTAGATTTTTTTTTTTTAATTTTTATTTTTTGGTACCAGGGATAGAATTCATGACCTTGTGCTTGCCAGGGAAGCACTTAAGCCATTGAACTAAATTCCCAGTTAGATATCTCATATAAAAGAATATGTTTGTTCTTGTCTTATCATAATATCTTCAAAGTTCATACATGTTGTAGCATATATCAGAACTCCATTCCTTTTTATGGCTGAATAATATTCCACTGTATGGATATACCACACATTGAGTCATTCATCTGTTGTTGGATACTTTTGTTATCACTTTGCGTTTACTATAAATAATGTGAAGGATTGTACAAATACTTCTTCAAGTCTCTTCAGATCTTTGAGTATACATCCAGAAGCAGAATTGCTAAATCATATAATTCTACAATTTAATTTTTTTTCTAACAATGTTGGGGATTAAACCCAGGGTCTCACAAAGGCTAAGTAAACAGTCTACCACTGAGCTACATCTTCAGCCTTTTATTTTTTATTTTAAGGTAGGACTCTCAAAGCTATAAAGGTTGAACTTAAACTTTCGATCCTCCTGCTTCAGCTTCCCAGAGTGCTGGTGTTACAGGCTTGTGCCACTACACCTGGCTAAATTTTTGAGGAGTTGCCACAGTTTTCCACAGTAGCTGTACCATTTTATATTCTCACCAACAATGTACAAGGGTTCTAATTTTCTCATTAACACTTGTTATTTTCTGGGTTTCTTCCTCTTCTCCTTTTCCTTCCCCTTCGCCTTCTTCTTCAGTAACAGTCATTCAGTGGGTGTGAAGTTCCAGGAAATTTTAATATCATAGACCACAGAGAGAAGTTTCACTTTGGAGAGAAGAGCACAGCAGAGGAGGGTATATGGGCATCCTTGACCCATCCATATCACAGGCCTCTGAGAAGCCAGAAGTCTGAAGCACTTTGGGTCAACTCAGCAGCTTGTCCCTGATCTGTGGTCCTGGCTTCTCCCCTGCAGGTGCCTGGCTGCAGCAAATCATGCAGTGAGCCATGCCCCGACCAGGACAGCCTCGCCCATCATCTGGGCCGGCTCGCTTAGGACCCTGGGAGCAGCCAACAGAACTATGCCTGGAGACCTATGATGACCCACCCCAGCCTCCACCAGGCCGACGGACCCGTAGACCAGACCCTAAGGACCCTGGACACCATGGGCCAGAGAGCATTACCTTTATCTCTGGCTCTGCCGAGCCAGCCACCGAACGCCCTGCCTGCTGCCTGCTGTGGCGGCCCTGGGGGTGGGACTGGTGCCGGGCTGCCTTCTGCTTCCGCCGCTGCTGGGATTGCCTCCAGCGCTGTGGGGCCTGTGTGCGGGGCGGCAGCTCCTGTTTGTCTGCTGAGGACTCCGTTGAAGGGGCTGGTGAAGCTAACTGGGCCAAGGAGCACAATGGGGTACCCCCCAGCCCTGATCGTGTACCCCCCAGGGATGGCCAGCGGCTCAAGTCTGCCATGGGAAGTAGCTTTAGCTACCCTGACGTCAAGCTCAAAGGCATCCCTGTGTACCCTTACCGCAGCACCACCTCCCCAACTCTTGATGCGGACTCCTGCTATAAGGAGCCACTGGCTGAGCCCCCTCCTATGCGCCACAGCCTGCCTAGCACTCTTCCCAGCAGTCCCCGTGGCTCCGAGGAGTACTACTCTTTCCATGAGTCGGACCTGGACCTGCCTGAGATAGGCAGTGGCTCCATGTCAAGCCGGGAGATTGATGTGCTCATTTTCAAGAAACTGACTGAGCTGTTCAGTGTCCACCAGATTGATGAGCTGGCCAAGTGCACATCAGACACTGTGTTCCTGGAGAAGACCAGTAAGATCTCAGACCTGATCAATAGCATCACACAGGACTACCACCTGGATGAGCAGGATGCTGAGGGCCGCCTGGTTCGAGGCATCATTCGCATCAGTACCCGGAAGAGTCGCAATCGTCCACAGACCTCAGAGGGGCGTTCAGCCCGGGCTACTGCCCCTACTGCTGCTGCTCCAGACAGTGGCCATGAGACCATGGTGGGCTCAGGTCTCAGCCAAGATGGTAGGTGGGGCCAGAGGGTACAGTCGGGGAGGCTCTGGCCTGGGTGGTACTCTCCTAGCCAGCCTGTGCTCTTCCCCTCCACTCCTGTGCAGCACTCACTCCACCTCCCTCTGACCCTCCCCAGTGAGGCTGAACAGGACAAAGGAGCATGCAGACCCTGGAGGCTCTCTGGCCACTGCTATTCCCAGAAAGGATAAAGTTCTCTCCAGGTCATCAAGCTCACCTAACAGGTTCCTTTTCTTTCCTGTTACCACCTGCCAGAGTTGCTTCCAGACCTAGCCTGAGTAATAAGACCCAGGACCCTTATGAATTTGGACTTTTGACTTGGCTGACATAACCAAATCCCTACCTACTACACACATGTGTACACGGTCACTAGAGTGAGCACATGCCCGCAGAGTTTATTCTTTTTTTTTTTTTTTTTTATCGGTACCAGGGATCGAACTCATGATTGCCTGCTTGCAAGGCAGGCGCTTATGCCGCTGAGCTAAATCCCCAGCCCCCCAGAGTTTATTCTTGTGTAAGCATTATTTCTTTAGCCCTGCCCAGAGTGAGTGGCCCTTCCCTCATTGGATCTCAAGCAGAACTAGGGGTGGAATTGAAAGGATGTGATAATGACTGCTCCCCTCTCATGTCCCCTCTCCCCCAGAACTGACAGTGCAGATCTCCCAGGAGACGACAGCAGATGCCATCGCCAGGAAGCTGAGGCCGTATGGAGCCCCAGGTGTGGTCCTGACCTGATGAGGAGTGCAAGGGGTGGGAGACTACCCTAGGGCCCCCTGTACATGCTCCTGCCAGCTGCTGCTTGGGGTGGGTGAGAAAGGGATCAGAAAGGTGTGAAAGGCTTGAACAGCCACAGATCCATTCCACTGCTGTAACTGGCTTGAAGCAAGGGGCAGGCGTCCAGATACATGAACTAGAAGTGACCCAACCACAATCTCTAAGGTGGGTCTCTGAGAAGCAAAGTGAAGTAGAGGTCATCCAATCTGTTGCTGCAAAAGGGCTTGGTTTCTACTACTCTCTTCTGTGCCTTCTCACCACCACCCTGGGAACAGGATCATTACCCTTTTACATAGGAGGGAGGCGGGGGTCAAAGGTCAAAACACTGAATGGGTCTCCCAGGCAGGATACTGACCACATTCAAGCCCCGCTCTATTCCTTCTCAGCAGGTTTCTTCCTAGCAGTGGGCCCTGGATGAGCTCCTTCCCTTCTCTGAGTCTTTGCTTCCTCCCCATACCAGGGTACCCAGCCAGCCACGACTCATCTTTCCAGGGCACCGACACGGACTCATCAGGGGCACCCCTGCTCCAGGTGTACTGCTAATCCCTGCTGGGCTCAGCAGCCCCAACCCCTCCTGGGAGAAGCATGGCCTACAGAATAGAGGGACCAGGATCCCTTTGGGAAAGGCTGGACCATAAGCAGTACCCACCCTGCTGCTCCTGTCCTGGCTGACTGGTTTTTGGACCAATGCATTTCACAGGGTCACAGTGCCCATATCCCCTGCCTTCCCAGCGGCTTGACCCCCTGCCCAAGCCTATTCCTTCCTGTGGCCTGATCAAGGATATAAGGACTTGGGAAGTACTCACTGCATTGAATCCTGACTCCATCCCAAACATGAAACGTTTAAAGGAAGTTTAAACGGACTGGGTTGGGGTGGGCAGGGTCTCTGCATAGTGTTCTGTGGATAGTACCCACTCAACAAGTTCTATTGAGTGGTCTGTTGTGGTTCCTAATGTACATGTTAACATGACAGTGCTTAAAAGTTCAAAGATAACAGATGCCTGCCTGATCATCTAGGCTACAACATAGTCCTTTATGTCCCATTTGCCTTAACTGCTGCTCAGAGCTGGAGACAGGACCTAGATAGCCAGAGGGGCTCAGTGTTGTAGATAAAGCAGGAGCAACACTACCTATCACAGGTTCACTGCACGTTCTAGAAGACAAAGGGCCAAGAAAGGCCTAGACTGAGGAAGGTTTGGCAAGTGGTTTTTGTCACTGCAGAGGTTCTTCCAGGGAGGCTTGTCTAGACTGCTTCTGCTGAACACTAGCCTATTTGTAGCCTTTTGTCAAGTCTCCCCAAAATCCTGGCTGTTTGTCAGCCACTGCCTCCTTCCAGCTATTGCTCTCCAGAGCACCATCATTTTTAGTTATCTGGGTCTCTCCAATAACTAGACGGGGAGTCGGAGGCTCAGATTAGTCACACGGTTAGTGGAGTCATTTAGCTGGTAACTGGCTCAAGATCTTGAAGCTGACCTCCTTGGGGCAGCCCCCAGCTACATACCTCACACAGGCATGTCTGTTACTCCTTTCTTAGTCTGGGGTGGGCACGTCAGCCCACCCTCAACTGAAAATAAGCTGTAAGATTATTAGAAATTCCCCTCCCTCATCCTCTACTTGCAGCCCTGTCTTTTCTTGTTTTGGTGGGGGGTGCTGAGGTAAGATCTTAACTATATAGCTCAGATTGGCTTAGAACTCAAAAATTCCTCCTGCCTCAGTTTTCATTTCCTGAGTGCTAAGATTACAGATGGGTACCCTATAGTAGGTTTTTGGTTTTTAGAGATTTAACTGTTTTAACTCAGGGACCAAAGCCTTTTTCACACCACCACCACTATGGGCATGCTTCAGAAGGCAACCACTAGACAAACTGTCATTCAGTTTCTTTCTTGTCTTGAGACGGGGTGTCTTGTTATGTAGTTCAGGCTGGTCTTGAGCTCACTTTGAAGCCCAGGCTGGTCTCAGACTGGCAACCTTAGCCTCCAGAGTGCTGGGATTACAGGTGTGCGCCACCACCCCTGGCTATTGCCTTAACTGTTTCTTACTAGTGGCATAGGATGGTGCCCTGGGGCCATGACCACAGGAACCAGTTTAAGTTCCAGCAATCTAACTGGTCACTCATCCAGGTCAAGGCCTTCACAAGAATGAATTGCCAGGCTGGGGGTTTAGCTCAGCGGCATAAGCACCTGCCTTGCAAGCAGGCGGTCGTGAGTTTGATCCCTGGTACCCATAAAAATGAAAAAGACAAAAAAGAATGGATTGCCCAGGTTAGGTTGTGGCTCAGTGGTAGAAGACTTGCTTTGCACCTCTGAAGGTTTGATCCTCAGCACCACTAAATGAGTGAAGAAATGAAATAACCACAGTGCACCAGAGCTGAAAAGGAGAGGGATTCAAATCCCTCCACTCCAGCATGCTTGTGAACCACTATTTACATTCCCAGGAAAAAAAAGGACTGATCAAGCATCGGAAACAAAGCCAGGTGCTGCTTAACCTCTTGGCCCCTGCACTCAATGACCTCCACCATCTGACTGGAGCAGGTCCAGGCCAGCTCTAGGGGCTATGTCTGGACAGAGGTGAATCCTCTGTGCCCTAGCCCTCCTAGGAGTACTAAAATGTGTAGCAGTCAAAGTCAGAGCCACAGTGTGCCTCACTAGATATCATTCTTCCCAACAGGCAAGTTCCTGTCCCATACTGAACAGATGTGAGAAACTGAGGCAGTCTTGCCTCCCTCTCCTGAGTCAGTGTCCCCCAGGCCTTGCTTTTGTGCCCTTGGGATACAGTCCATAGTTTGAAAAGTGTTGGATTCAGGGCTAGGGGTAAGTAGTTGTCTTCGAGAAGAAAGCCAAGTCATTATGTCCTTCAGGAGGCTGAGATAGGAGAACTGTTGCAAGTTTGAGACCAGCCTGGTCTATAAAGTGAGTTCTCGGCCAGCCTGAACTGCACAGGGAGACCTGTCTCAAAAAGACAAAAAACAAACATTACATGCAGCTGGCCTTAATCTTTGCTAAGTCACAGGCTCCCTTGAAACTCTAACATATGTTTTAGTTTCTTTAGCCAAAAAAATTCACCTCTCAATACCAAAGAGACTAAAAGCCTTGCCCTAATCCTCTCTGTAAGTAATGGGAAGAAACTGAGGTGCTGAGAGGGCAAGACAAGCATTTGTCTTGGGTCACACGGCAGAATCTGGGTTAGAAGTCAAAACCCTCGCTTCCAGTGTCAGGCAAAAGCTGGTCCCAGGGGAAAAGGCCAAAGGGAGGAGAGGACACAGGTCAAGTTGGGTGAATAGCTTTAATGTGTAACAGTAGGCCTACCACGAGAGCAAGACCTCCAAGGCCCCGGCCCTTCTCCCATGTCCTGGAACCCATGTACCTGGGCCAGCCCTCTGTCTGCCCAGCCCCAAGGCTCCCAGAGTCTTAGGGAATGATGGGAAAGGAGGTTGGATAGCTCCCAAGAGTTCAGGGAGGCAAACACAGAGCTAGTTGAATTTGGCCTTGGAGAAGTCCATCTCTGGATGCTGATCCATGAACCTGGGGAAGTGGAAGTAGGAAGTTAAACAGTCTGCCCTTCTCCCCAGACCACAAAATCAAGTCTAACTTTAGAACCCTGAAAAATGTGGCACTGGGCAAGGCAGGGCCTAGGTGTCTGAGGCCCATCTGAGCCCCTGGGTCTGGAAACAAGTGTCAACACTGGCACTGCTTTCACAGGTGGCAGTGACCGCCCGTTACCCTTTGCTTTCTCTCGGGCTGGCCTTGTCCTCGAGGTGACCTCTGGCTCCCTCGTGCTGGAAACTGTGCAGGGAAGCTTAGTCCTGCTGAATGCTCCACTCGCCGCTGTGACCCAGGTCTAACCCACAGAGAACCATCCTCCTGACACCCCCACCTCTGAGTTGCTTACTTTTTCAGGATCTCCTGTTTCTTCTGCTCATCTGAGGTGGGCAGCCCCATGGACTTCTGTCTCTGGTCATACATCATTTTTTCCACCATGCTCCGTGTCTCACTATCCAGGTCTGATAGCTGGGGGCAGGCAGGAACGAGGATGGGTGGGTGACACTAAGGAACCACTTAGGGCCCTCCCTTTCCTGCTGAAGCTCCCCTAACCAGCTGGGGCTAACCTTGGAGTTCTCAGGATTTATCTTCTTGGTATTGATCTCAGGGTCAGTAGACACCAAGCGACTCCACCACTCCATCTTGTTGATCTGTGAAGAGGGAGACAGGAGGGACTGACACTCACTCTGTTCCCAGAAGTCATTTCTCAACCTTTCCAGAACCAAGCTCCCCATCCATGTCCTATACCTGAGACCCACACAAGTGTGCGCTAAAACCAGTGGTATGAATGAGTCAGACCTCTGCCCTCCCAGCATCTGGGACAGACATGAGGCCAGTGGTCAGAAGTCAGTGATGAGGGAAAGGAAAAAGTAAAGCGGAGATGGTGAACCAGGGTGTGGAGAGAAGCAAGAGTGACACTGAGGCTAAGCCCTCAAGTCTAAGAAGCACGGGAGCCGGAGGTACACCTCAGTGGTACAAGTGCCTGCCTGGCAAGCGTGAGGTTGTAGGTTTAATCCCTGGCACCAAACATAAAAAAATACAAGTAGTACATAGTACCAGAGGACAAGAAGAAAAGAATGAGAAAGAAATTCCACCTGGGAGGAAAGCAAGCACAAGGTCAGCCAGGGTGGCTAGGCCGACCTTCTCTCCCAGGCGAGGCTGTGTCTAGACCCCTGCTCCTTTATAGAAGGTCATGATTTACTGGCATCTGTCCCATCTTTCTGGGGAAGGCAGTGAACTGGAGAAGCTGTCTTTGAAGCCACACGGCTTTTCCATATTTTGCTCACGGTTCTCTCTCAGGCCTTAGAAGAGTACCAGGCGCACAGTAGGTGTTCAGTACATGTGGAACTAAACACATGCCAAGTCCGACAAAAGAAGAGGCTAGACCTGAAAACTCGGCCCTAATCCCACCCCACCCCACGCGCTACTGCCACCCATTTTAGAGAAGCAGGGGCAATCTTGGCTCTTGCCTTACTTTACAATTTAAAACTTGAGAATTCTACTTTAAAGGGTCTTGCTGTGGGGATTCCATAAGGTAATTTCACAGGCCCTGAGCACAGCCCAAGTGGACAGCAGGCCCTCCCACCCCAACTCTTACTGTCAGCACGCAGGCTAGGAGGGCAGGCCACACGTACCTTCTCCAAATGCACAGTCACCACTCTGTTGTCCTCAATGAGCCAGGAGCTCTCCTCTACCTTCACCTCGTTGTACAGCTCCCCATCAATGATTGGTGGCTGCCCCTTGAGCCCCACCCGAAGGTGCCGTCGCTGGATGTCCACCACCACATCCTTCCCCTTCAGCCGGAAGTTAACATGGAAGGTCACTGCCAGCTGCACAGAACACAGGCAGTCATGAGGGGTCAGGAGGTACTGCTAGGATCCCAAGGGATTCCTAAGCCCTTGCCCTTAGCCCCAGCACTCACATCCAGCTCTGACAAGGTCTGGGTCCAACGGTAGTTGGGCAGGTCAGCCCCATTTCCTAAGTTGGGCTTCAGTTTCCCTTTGTCCTTCTCGTCCTCCTCCTCTTCATCCTCGTCAGCCTCCTGCTCACAGTCAGTGGCACTCAGCTACTTGACAGACATACACTGAAGCCCCACTGGGCCAGGCCCAGCGCTGGCATGGAGCACATAGCCACAACACAAAACAGATATGGTCCAGACTCCCAAACTGGTCAACAGGGACCCAGACAGAGGTGAAATTGGGTTCTGATCTCTGCCCAGGAGTGCAAACTATTATACCATGTGACAAAGGACATGGCTGGGCCCAAGACCTCCACCCACCTTCAAAAGTGCCTCTACAAGCACTGCCCTCTCTGGCTCTTGGCTTTCGTGTCCAAGATAAAGGCCAGTGGATTTTCTGTTTGTTTTTTAAACTCAAATTCCTTTGTCCCATGTCTCGGAACAAAATGCTGAAATATGGGCAGGATCCCCAAAGCTGGGGGCAGGGAAAGGGAAGAAAGAATGGCTACAGAAAGAGGAAGGCTCCTGCCCAACCCCCTGGCTAGCCCGGAGAGACTCCAGTTCATCTCACCTGCTTCCCTGGGGGACCAAGGCTGCCATTCTTAAGCTGAGCTTCATGATTCTCAGCATCCTTTTTCTATGATAAAGGACACAGCAGTTGGCAACAGGACTCCACTTCCTAGGGCCAACAGGACTCTGAAGGGTACGGAAAGGAAGCCTAGCATCACCTTGTCAATCTCCAACTGGAGCCTCTCTGCCTCCTCATCAGTCAGCTCCTGGATCTGTGGCCCGTTGTTCTCTGCCTTGGCTTCTTTGGCCAGCCTGGCAGCCCGCTCGGCTTTCTCCCTCCGCTCAGTCTCCTGCCGAGCTCGCTTCTCCCGCCGTGCCTTCTGAGCCAGCTGGTTGTGGTGGTTAAAGGTCTGTGTGATGAGCTGAGGGAGGCAGAGAAGTTGATGAGCCTGAAGAGCCAAGGCACCGTGTCCCAAGGGATGGAGTCCAGTCTCATTGCTATCTGCTGAGTGGCAGGCAAAGCACTGTATGCAGAACTGCAGTTCCCTTACCCCCAAAATGAGGAAAATATACCCATCTCAAAGAGCTATAATTCATATATTTCAACAACACCTGGCTCAATAAATGGTGCCTGCTGAGCCAAGCAGAACTCAAGCCTCAGCCTGATCTTGGGGCCATACTTGCCTGTTCTTCAAGAACTCTCCTACCTATCCATATCCTGTCCCTAGGGTACTTCCAGATGGTTAGTACAAAATGCCATCCTAGAATGGCCACAGAAGCAGGATGCCAGTTTTCCTGAGTGAAAAGCTTGGTCTTCCTCTCCCCAGGTAGCAAACCAAAAATTTTGATTCTTTTCTCTTAAAAGCCTTCCCAGGATGTTTTTACCCAGTAACCCACTAGCTGGCCTCCCACCCAGGAGTTAACCCACTGGCTCCTGTGTATCTGGGTGTATGTCCTCAGATAAGTGAACAACTTGTGACTCTTTCTAAATCCATTTCCTCATATGTCAGGACTGAATATGACAGCAACCATCAAAGCAAAGTATACAATGCTGGCTTCCAAACACGGCTTGGCTGGCTGGGGCTGTGCCCATCAGCAGCAGGGGTAAGGAAGAGTAGCAACCGAGCATGCTTCTCCCAACCTGCAGCATCAGCATCGCCTTAACCTACCTGAAAAGCTCAACCGCAGGCCCCATTCCAGACTGACTGACCAAAGACTCTGGAGTGGGACCCCTGTGGTCACCTCTGTCTAAACTTTGGCATGCATTTTTCTTTGCCTAGAAAGTCTTCCTCACTCCCAGGTAACCCTCTTGGACCAGCTCAAAAAAGTAGTCTAGCAGAGGTAAAAAAAAGAGCACTGGTCTTTTTTTTTACCTCTGCTAGACTACACATGGTACACACACTGGGAGACCACACGGAGCATCTACCATGTGATCACTGGTCTATAAACCACATTCCAAGCATCTGAATCAGAGCTGAATGTAAGAAGGGCTCATACTCACAGAAGTCACTCATAGGGACTCACATCTAGGATTTCACCAAATGCCTGTGGCTTCCTATTCATCTTTATCCATTCCTCCTCTACCCCCCAAACCTCATTCTGCAAGGACCACTAAAAGGACACCTCCCCCACAACAACATGCATTAACAGAACAGGGAGGCAGCCAGGCATGTGGTGCACACCTGTAATCCCAATACTTGAGCGACTGAGGCAGGAGAATTACAGCAAGTTTGAGGTCAACCTTAACTACATAACAAGATCTTTCTCAAAAAGCAAACAGAAAAATCAAAAAAACAAAAGAGGGAGGTGAGACATGATCCACCTGAAGGCCACTGTGCTGTCAAAGAGAAACAACAGGTCATGAGACAGTTACACAGCACAGCTGTTTCACCAAGGACCTTGTCCCATGTCTCTAATCAGGGGGGACCTTGAACTCAAGCCATTTGCCAACCAGTGGCCAAGGGAAGGCGAGACCAGGGCCCTCCCCTGTCCCAGCCCCACTAAATCATGTCACATCCTATTTGTCCTATTCCTTCCTAGCTCTTGGAGGTTACCTGAGGGCAGAGCTGAACCAGCAGGCAGACTCAAGGCCAATCATAACAGCCTCCGATCCCCCCTCCTAGTCTCCTCCCCTCAGGACACCCTGACTGTCTCACAGGTGCCAACCCAGAGGCTGTCAGGGAGTCAAGCTTCAGTTACAGGACACATCGTTAAGAACCATAGCCCAGTAAGGTGGGCTGGGTACATGTGAGCAAAGGCTTTCCCTGACTAGACTGGGTGACAGGCATAGAGCACTTCCCAACTGTCTGACCAGGGCAGAACTCAAAAACACTTAAGCCAAACCCAGAGGCATGAGGCCTTGGCCCTGACCACCCATTCCAGCACATGGCATCACAGCATTCTAACATACACGAGGGAGATGGCACATTCAAACAGCAGGTCACAGTGGCTGACTGAGCTGGGGATTCTCAATGTGAAGGCTGCTGAATTCCTCCTCAGCTGAACAATTCTCCAGTCTCAGCCCCACCACAGCCCTCTTTCCCCCTGACCCAAACCAGAGACCACTGGTTTGGAGCAGTGGTTCTGGCCCCTTCTCCTGCACTACTCCCAGTGCCTGACACAGGGCCCCTGGGAAAAGACTGCAAGGTTTTAGCAAGATAACTCTGCTAGGAGTTATCTGGAGGACTGGTAAACAGCAGGTAGGCCTTTACCTAAGGAACAGATCCAAAGGACAATGCAACTAGCAAAACATCACTCCGAGCCACAGTAATGATCCCCAGAACCAACTCAGGGTCTCCTTACCCTCACCCACAACCCAGAGTCCTAATCTTAAGGAGTGGCAGCAACATCCACTCATGTGCCAAAGGACAGAGCAAAGAAGTCATTTGTGATCCTCAGCCTGGTATCAATGTTACAAGACATAGTGTCCTGCCATTCTGGCCAGTCCACAGCTCCCCGTGACACACAATGCAGAGCTCAGCCTTCCAGACCTTCTGTGTCCAAGTCCTTCTGCTTGGCCCTGGTGACCTAGACCTCCTGCAGGGTCCTCAGCCCTGATCAGACCCAGTATGTCTCCCCTGGTAGACTCAGGTTCTAGCCCCAGAGTCTTTTCCTATCACAGTGCCATACTCTCCAACCTTGTTCGTGTTACCTTATGCCCTTCTGCCGTCCTCCACTGTCCCAACCTCACTGTGACTTTCAGGGTACTCAAGTGCTGCACGTTCCCCAAAACCTTTTCAGAATCTCATCAAATGAATGCCCTCTCTGCATCCCGAAGATCCACAGACTCACAGCCCTTAGAAGCAGGATCTGTATCTGACTTATCTCTCTAGCACTCAAAGTACCTCAAACATGTTGTCTGAAGATAGAAGAATATTACAAAGACTCATTAAATTCTATCTATTGGGAACTATATTTAGCCAAGCATGCACACAGGAAGCTGAAGCAGGAGGCAAAAAACAAACACAGGAAATTTAGAAGAATCAATGACACAAAGATCTAGTTCAGTGGCAGAATGCTTGTCTAACATGTGAGGCCTTGGGTTCAATCTCCACTCCTAAGAAAGACAGACAGATGATGGATAGGAGGGGAGTGAGGAAAGAAAAAACTAAGGAGAGGAAATCTGGCATAACAAAGAAACCTCCAAATGCAGAGGGCTGTGACAGTACTGTGATTCACTCAGAGTGTGCACAGGGCAGTGGAGACAAGACCTGGCACTACCCCTGATAATGGCCCGTGTCCTCTGACACAGATTGCCCTCTTGACTCAGTAAGAACCACAACAGCCTAGCATACATCTCAAGTCTAGGAGTTTACAGCAATAATGAGGAAAAGCCCACCTTACAGGTCACCTTTGGTACATAGCAAGAAACCAAACAACTGTTCTGAAAACCATGCATAAGGAGCTTTTCCCACGTATCCTTTCTAGGTATCCAGAGGCTTGAGACGGAAAAGTTTCTACTAATAAAGAGAATAACAGAGGCTCAGCACTCTGCAAGCCTCTACAAATACAATACAGTTTAGGCACGATCAACAATTGCTAATTTATGGCGCTGGGGATTTAGCTCAGTGGCATAAGCACCTGCCTTGCAAGCAGGCGGTCATGAGTTCAATCCCCGGTACCGATAAAAATGAAAAAGACAAAAAAAAAAAAAAAAAAACAATTGCTAATTTTACAAATTGAGAAAAATGAAACACTATGTGCTTATTGAAGGAGTATACCAGACCATCCACAAAGTAGTTCTGGGGAACAAAAAAAACCTTAGTTAAGCAAATCAAGCCTGATACAGCAAATCCAAAAGACAAAGAAATGTAGGAGCTGGACATGGTGGTGCAGGCCTGTTATCCAGCAGTCTAGGATTCTATGGTAGGAGGACTACCAGTTTGAGCCCAGTCTGGGCAACTTAGTGACTGTGAGACTCTTATCTCAAAATAAAAAATAAGAGGGCTAGGGTTGTAGTTTCATGCAAAGGCCCTGGGTTCAATCTTCAGCACCACCAAAAACAAACCAAACCAAAATGTTGTAAAACCATGTAAAGGTTAGATACCATCAGAAACACCAATATTTGGCTTTTGTCCCAGGTTCCTGAAACACCTTCTAAGTCCTTTGAATTTCCTGAATAACAGGGGTTATCTTTTATTCTAACATCACTCATTAGAACTCTAAAATATATAACTTCAGAATGGGGGCAGGTCCAAAAGACCCAGTAAGATCAGAGGGTTGGACCTTTCAGATCCAGTCTCCAACTTCCCAGGAATGAGAGGACCTGGAGACTGAGCTGATCATTAGTGGTCACTGATTTAATCAATCATGCCTAAGGAAGGAAACTTCCAGAATAGTTCCTGAATGACAGGGCTTAGCAAATTCCTGGGTAGGGGGACATATTAAAGTACTAGCAGGAAAGGAAGACCAGAGAGGCAGGTCTGCCTCATTCACTTGGCTCTTCCTGAATTCTTATCTTCTATAGTAAACCAGTAATTGTAAGGAGAACAATAACAGCAAATAAAACTCTTTCTCAAATTCTGAATCATTCTAACAAATTACTAAACCTAAGGAGGCTGATGTAGGAACTGCTGGGTTATAGTCAGAAGCAATGGGATTTGACTGGTATGTCAATAGAGCAATCCTGTAGGACACAGCCTCACCTATGGATTCTGCCCTAACTTAGGTATTGAAATGAACTGCAGGTCATACAAATGTGTCTGGAAAATTGGTTGTTGGGCAAGAAAAGAACCATACCAGCTAGGAGTAGCTCCAGTGGTAGAAGGTGTGCATGGCATGTCTGAGGTCATGGATTTGATCCCCAACACCAAAAAAGAAAGAGCCAGGCACAGTGGCAGATGCTGTAATCCTAGTATTCTGAAAGACCACAGCAGGAGGATCACTAAACACAAGCCCAGCCCAGGTAACTTAGACCTTTTCT